GCTGTTGCATCCACTTGAACAACTGGTGGTGAACTGAATGGGGCTCGCCAAATCCAACCTCACTAACATGCTCTTCATCCGCAGCGAACAAGACTGTATTAACGTAACTGAGAGGTACCCCATATGACGCGAAATCATGAATCGTCGTCTGTGCCTCGAATTGTCTTTTTTGTTGAAATCTCAATCCGCGCTGGTGCTATGGGCGGAGTCAAGCCCACCATTTGTGTTTTCCTCATTGGTGCACCCCTACTATACAGGAAATGAGGAGCGCGCTTGTGAAAGGGTTCAGTGATAAGTCTGCGTCCACTCATATGATTGGCATGATCTTGCCTCGAAGGAAAAAGGAGGTTTTATTGTCTGAGCTTGAAGAAGCGAACTTCTTCAGAGTCAGAGTTATACACGCTGAGTAATCCACAGTGAACCACATGGGATATACCTTATGACTCAGACGTAGTTGTACGATTACATCTCCCTCGAGCTTGGCTAGACTGCTTTTTTAGAGCCCTAGCAGCATTCCAGGAGTTTCGCGACGAGCATACCGATGACGCCATGAGACTTTTTCTTAGGTTTGGGGCGACACGTTTTCCAATACCTTTGCATTGATCGAGCTGGATAACAAAAAGCCTGTGACGTAAAAATATCGATAGCCCAGGCTTATTTATTCCTTTGCGCGCAAAGTTTTGAGTTCGGAGACACCTAGTGAATAACAGTTTGTTATTGAATATGACAGCAGCTGTAGAACAGAGATTCCAGTCTCAAAGTTGTGCTGAGGGCATGTTTAACAGACTAACGGATGGCATAATCATCAATCAAACGCAGTCACAAGAAAAACTACATTTCCCACAACTACATGAAACCTACGAGAACCGATCTTGTACGGCCAAGATCACTAACACTGGTACGGAGTCCGGGGAGGATACTGGTCAGCGATAATTCGAAATTCGCGCGTCGCACCAGAAGACGCTTTGGACGCGCAGAGGGATTTTCTCTATGGCCAGCGTGTCATTACTTCCACGGCAGACAGCAGCGGCGATCGCGGGCCGTCGATCGCGGACCTCGTGAACCTCGGCGATCCGATCCGTTGGTTACATGCAGAGCGCGCCCCAACGCTATGTACTGTGCGCTCCGAAAAGCTTTTTGGAAAAGCGACTCAATTTCATTCCTTTAACATCGTAAACTTTTTCTGGATACTGAAGGCTTTGGTTTGACCACAAAGAAAGTGAAGCCCAACCTATGGCTTTTGTTTTAATATTTCTTTCTTGATCTCAGCGATAAGAAAAGAGCAAAAAAGCGCTGAGAGCTTCATTTTGGGTAAGCTTTTACTGAGCCTTCTTTCATTTTTCGTTCGACTTTACTACATGAGGTTATAACGTTTTCACCTGTTGATGTTGCGTAAAATGATTAGTGTTTTGGTTCCTAGTGAGTTTCTTTCTGTTCCTTTTTTTTCTTCGTTGCTTGCACTCGACTTCTAAGCTATAAATATTTTGGAAGCTTGGAACAGTTCAGACGATAGAAATTTCAATGCGCTTGCATAAATGAAACAATAAAAACGAAAGAAACAAGAGAAGCACACTTGACGGCAATGGAGTTGGCTCATCCCGACTGAAAAGGAGGTGAAACCTCTCCACCGCCCTATTCCAATTGATCTCGCTATGAAGAAAGGTGTTAAAGTTTATCAGTTAGTAGGCTGGGTGGAGTCATTATAAGAGAAAAGAAGGTCTCACAAGTTGGATTTCCTTATTTATCAAGCGAGCAGTCCATAATAGCGTTGGGGCGCGCTCTGCCACGTACCGACGATCGCCGCGATCGCCGCTGCTATCGCGAAGTATGAACGCTGCCTAACTAGTGAACCAGCGCTGATCATCGACGAAGGAACTCGGCTAAATTCACTCAACTACGCTAGGTTTCGCCGCTGTTGTGCGCGCTGTGGTCAGTTCAATTTACTGTAAGGAAGCCGTGCCTGTCTGGTTCGCGGTGCGAATGCCACGCACACGACGCTACTTACAAAGCCGCTTTCCTAGCGTGGCCGCAAATTAGATCTCCTGACCCACCCCAGAAAAAAGTTCTCAGCTTCCTCACCTGCTCAGTAGGGTTTTGCCCAAGTGATCGCATTGCAATGCCGAGTTCCTTGGTTGATATCGTACCGTTGCCGTCTTTGTCGAACATCATAAATGCCTCTCGGAACTCGTCTACTTCCTCGGGTGTAAGCTGAAGTCCATCGAAACTCATTCAAAACTGCAATTTCGAAAGACAAAAGTTATATAGAAGTACTGACCTGCTTAATGACATCTTCGCTGAATTGCAGCGCACCCATCGTCGAATGAGAAGCAAGCGTCATTCTTTCCTGTTTCTGAAAACGAGTCGTTGAGTCATGTAACATATAAAATTCAAAGGAACACTTCGTGCAGGATGCCGTGAATATTCAAGAAGAATGACGTCATAGAAAAGGCAGTAGAAGAGGATAGAAGTAGATGAGGTGAGCTCTACTGATAACGGATAACAGAATGATACTCGGCTCAAAAACTCAGACATTCGAGCTAGTAACCCGAGCTGTAGGCGGCCGCCCTACCGCGTCATCTTTCGTGGCGCTCTTCACAAATTCCTCAGGGC